CCAATCCACAGCCGAGAATGGTCTTTAATGGGCCAGTATTTTTTGGGTATACTGCCGAAGCAGCAGCCATGCTGTTGGAGAAGATGGGCAGTAAATAGACAACCTGAATCCGAACTAATTTGTTAATTTTTCGAAGTTTCCTCCCTCTCCTTTGTTAGTGAAAGCCAGCATTTGAATATCTGTGATTTAGCCATGCCCCGTACTAAATTTTTTCACGTATTTTTGTTATCAGCGTTTTATTTCATGATTCTTGACTTCATGTACTACAAGAAATTTTGCTGTTGTTGCTGTTTTATATACCCAACTTAGCGAGTCTGCATGATAGTCTGTTTTATATTTTGCACATCAGATCCTTGGCTCATTAACCAGGAGAAAAGATGGCGGAATAGAAGGTCGTTTACCAAATTACAAGTGCAAGCGGGTGTGATACCTAGAGCCAGAGGCATGCTGATCACATTGTCATTCCCGTGGTTAAAACTGATTAACTAGGCAGCAATACTCTCATCCACGCAGAGAATGATCTATTTAAATGAGCAAGCTGGCAACAGCAAAGGCAAGCAAGGCAGTAGCTCCCATGCTAGCAGCGCCTGCGCTGGAAATGGCGCCCCCGCTGGATGGGGATGGCATTCCCTCTCCAGAAGTGGGAGCTGAAGTGATAGCCATGCCGCCAACTCCGGTAGAGTTGACGCACATACCCTGGGCGAGGAGGTTTTTAGGTGAGCTGGAGAATGTGATATCCATGCACTATATACCCGTATCATGTTAGCGAATTTATTTCTTCAAGGCCTCTCTGTCTCCTTGCCTACGTCGGGGCAAATATATGTACATACATTGTACAGCGCCGCACCACCCGCTGACGCCTGGACAATTTGCAGGCTTGCGTTTGTGCCGTCTCTGATACCTAGACCTGCTGGAATGGAGATCTTCGGGAAACAAAAGGTACCGTTTCCAGTCTGGTTGAAGCCAGGGACGAGTGTGTTGTTGAAGATGATGGAGTCATCATCTCCCAAGCCGAGGTTGACATAGGTCAGAGCCCAATGGTGAGTAGGCCTGAAGAGGATAGCACCGCCGTCAACGGGCCACTGAGTACGGTTCGTCGTGACATTGACGCCGCCGCCTGGAGCCATTGTCAGCTGCGGGGGGGGGGAACCTCCTGATTTGCAACGATGCTATGGGACTCACATGGACGAGTATACTGTGTTTTGAAGGAGTTCCCTCGCCAGTAAGGGTATTCGACGCGGAAATGGGCCGAGACAATACTCATGCCAAAGGCGAGGAGGATCAGAAGCTGGTTAGTGAACATGCTGATGCCTCTTCTTTTCTTCTGTCGTTTGGCATATACAAGACGTGTTAAGTCCGTTAGAAGATGATGTAGGGAGATGGAGATGATGGGGTGACAAAGAGGGCCGTCCACCCTTTTTATATAGACCTGACCGCGGCAGAAGGTAGCTTATTACGGAGGACATAGTTACTAACGGTCTAAGCGAAATTTCTCAGACTGTAGCCCGGGAGCACGAAGATATACTTTGTACGGACGGGACACCCATTTTTACGCAGTAAGCGAGTTACCGAGGCCGGCAGTGCTATCACCATGCCCTCCGTCCCTCTAATCCCCCCTGATATAAAAAGGAATAAGCGAAAGTCCCCCCTCCGGACCAAAAATAGTTCACTTTAATGCGCTCAAACCAGCTCGAAACGCGGCAAAACTTGGCAGTAGTTATCACGTGATGTTAATACCCGGGGCTTGGCACGCTCGACGGGTAGTCTAACCCGTTTGGGGCTGTTTGACGACGTTCGCCACCCCCACGGCGTCCGCTCCATCCTCTCCCCAGGCTGGAAGAGAAGAGCGTCTACTACGTTCACTGCGTCCAGTACGCGGTCGGCACTGAACATACCCCCCCATACCCAGGTAGCGGCCGGCAGAGGCATCGTCTGAACTGGATTTGCCATAGAGCAGCATGATACTTTCGACCGTCTCCAAAAAATGTTGGGTACAAGAAAATCTTCTGACAATTAATAGGGAATAGCTAAAATCAGTAACTCTAGAAAAAGAGTCGCCCCGTTGGAGTTTAAAGCAGCCAAGTCAAACTAGGAAATCAAGTGAAGAAAAACAACCAAAAGGGATTTCACTAAGGACCAAGAGAAGAACGAACACGAGAGGAGGAAAAGGGATGGGGCGAGGAAACAACACCGAGCTACCACATGGTTGGCTCTTGGGAATGCTGTGCAGCACATCATCTCTGCACTGCCAAAGGACCATAATCGCCAGACAGAGTCATTTATCTACAAAGATAACCCCCAAAGTCAAGCACTGTTGGCAAAACTGTCTTGAAGTGATAATAACAATAGCATATTGGCTCAATACTTACACGCCCAAGAGCGGGGCTTTGGTGATTGGGATGCTGAATGAAATCGGGTGTTGGCATCCCACATTGCTACGGAGAGGCTTGACCACCGGAATCCCAAAGTTGGCTAACAATATCGGTCAGATTGATGTTCCACTTTCTCATTTGAACGGTTGCACACTTACAAATTGGCCAGTCTCCAGTTTCGAAGGTCTGGAGATAGACGCTAAGATACGGTTTTCCTTTCCTGTATGAAAAGGAGATATAGGCGTGCAGGTAGTTGAGGGTCTCTTGGTCCGCATGCGGGCTGTTGGTTGAATCAAAATTAGTGTTCTGTGACCTACGGCTATAAACGGGTTGGTTGACTTACTAATAGGCGCGCAGACTGTCCTTGTATGTCTGGGCCATGTGGTTCCAGCCTCGTCTTTCGAAGAAGGTCACAAGCCCGTCAGCTATGCGACCGTCATTCAGGCCGAATGTTGTGAAGTACACTTGTGGCTCAGGCATGGCCTGGTCGTGATGGAGCGTGTAGTTGGCCATCAGGGGAAGCTGCTCATCGGGGATTGTTCCCAACTGCAAGAATGGCTCGGGGTATTCTCGCATACCAGGTGGTAGTTTGATGAGATCCCAGAGCTCTCGCAACATCTCGAGTCCTGCTAGGGTTGACGCATCGTTCAATCGGCCTCCCATCGTCCACAAATCCTCCATTGCTTCCAATGTAACGTTGAGTTCCAATATATAGATCTTGACACGGGACTTGCTGGGATCAATCAGGTCGCAAGAAAGCAATCGGGGAGATGCGGTGCTGTTAGGACCCTTGGAATCAACATACTCCTCAAGAGCGCGTAGAGGAGCTTCCAGCGATGGGTTCTGTCTGCACAAACGATAAACGGAGTCAAACATTAAGGTCTTGATCGATTTTCCAGTGGCAAGGGCCTTGAGAGCAGGGTAGATATAAGTCTTCAACACGAAGTTTCCCCCTTTCAGGTCAAGGGCCAGCTTGTTTTGGGTTCGGATTTGACCTCCAACAAGATTATTTTCCAAGAGATAAGCAGAGTCCTGGTCATCGACTGTGAGGTCCTGCTTCAGATGTTTGAAGAACTCAAGATCGATACCCTTCTGCAGTGGCATCAACCGGTCGAGTGCATCCCATATGGAATGAGTGTTGAAAGGGTCTTTAACCGTGCCAGTCGCTGAGTTGATGGGTTCGTAGGTATATCGTACCAGCGACTGTGAGCAGTTTAAACTCAGCTCAAACGGGGTTCCATATCGAGTTAGAATGCTCAGCCATCGGTTGTTTATCCGTGTTGGGTAGACTCCTAGGAATGGGATGACGTGGTTGAGGAAAATACCCAAAATTTTGTACTGAGAGTGAAGGTCATATCCGGCAACCCTGAGCATCTCAGCAAACATTGGTGCCGTGCTATGCCACCATAGCTTCTGTTCATGGTTGGGGAAGTCGATAAAGTCGGATATCGTCTTGTAGACGATCGAGCCGGAGCAGTTAGGGATTTCGATAGAGCCCATTGCGATTGTGTTGAACTAGACTTGGGACGTCTCAATAGTGAAAATGATGCTGAGGATGAGTGTCTACCGGAGAGACCTGGTCACTCTGAGATAATTATAGCCTGGGACAGGACCACAATCGATAGTTGGGTGCAAAATTTAGACCAACTTCTGCATAGAACTTCATCCTTAGAACTCTGAAGATCACCCAACCACAGGGCTGGCAAGAGTTGTATGGTTCAAGTTAGTGCATCTTACGCATTACTTACAAACTTTCGAGCTGGCCTGATACCAAAAGAAATGTTCCGGTATGCCCTTCGTCTTTTCAAATTTAATCGCCATATTATCAATAACCACAGGGCATATTAGAGGTGGGATGTGTACATATTTCTCATGCAACACGCTCTCACTCTCATCCCTGTCTGGACTTTTTTTACTTTTTTTTCTTCTTTCCTCTGCTTTAGCTTCGGGCCGCTTGTGTCTTTCATCCTAGTGGAACACGAAACCTCTCAGAAAGATTTTGAGACCGATATGGAGCTCTAGATCGACCGAAGCAATGCATGCATGCTTTCTCCCAATATTTGGATGCTGCAGCCCAGCCAATTCATTACAGGCGGAGTAACTTAAAAATGGATCATTGACTTGTAAGCCCAATGTGTTATCTTGTATGACCGCTAATTATGGTATTTAGAGGAGCAATGTGACAATCCTAAAGGAAGAATTCCGCTTTGCTCATCCAGGGATCTCTCCGCTTGTTTATTTAACAGCTGTGCCACAATTTGGATTACCATTTTTGAGCGCTGTCCAAACTTGCAGGATGCAATTTCTACTCTGGTCGACTGGGTTGGTCGCTCTTCTGAGCTGGCTAATTTACACGCAGGAGACGCAGCCGGCTTCTTGTCGGTGCCGGCCATGGGAATCGTGCTGGCCATCCGAGGAACTCTGGAACTCATTCAACACATCGGTTGACGGGAAGCTTCATCGTTTGAGACCAGCGGCGCATGTCTGCTATGGGCCAAGTTTCAACCGGAGTGCCTGCGATAATATCTTGCTATTATCGAGGGATAGTGGGTGGAGGGCTTCCAATCCAGGTAGGTGAAGCTCCGGCTATTCGACAGTACCTTTTACTGTTTTCGACTAACATTAATGATGCTCACAGGTGTGCTGCAGGATTGGGTGTGGGAGGCTGGTGAAACAGCCAACGAGAGCTGCCCAGTGGGGTCGTTGCGGACGGCCTCTGCCGTGAATTCTTGTCACCAGGGCCGCATCCCTCTTTTTACAGTCGGAGTGGAGTCCACCAAGCAGGTCCAAGAGGCAGTTCGGTTTGCAAGGAAGCACAACCTTCGCCTTGTCATTCGTAATACTGGACATGATCTAGCGGGGAGATCGAGTGCCCCAGACTCCTTTCAAATCCATACTCATCACTTACAGGAGATTCAATTCCATGCTGATATGCGACTGGATGGGTCGAATACATCCCTTGGGCCAGCAGTGACTGTTGGTGCAGGCGTAATGATGGGGAATTTATATGCTCAAGCTGCTCGTCATGGTTACATGGTGCTTGGCGGAGACTGCCCGACAGTCGGGGTAGTTGGAGGTTTCCTCCAGGGAGGTGGGATTTCTGACTTTCTAAGTCTAAACCAAGGTTTTGGTGTTGACAACGTGCTCGAGTATGAGGTTGTTACAGCAGATGTAAGTGCCTGAATCACTCTTACCGCCCATCACAACTAATCTTTCATTCTAGGGGGAGCTCGTAGTTGCTAATGCACTCCAAAACCAAGACCTTTTTTGGGCTCTCCGTGGCGGTGGAGGTGGGACATTTGGGGTTGTCACTCGAGCTACCATGCGTGTCTTTCCGGATGTTCCCGTTGTGATATCTGAGATTCTTCTTGAAGCCCCGCAAGCCATCTCGTCATCATGGACCCAGGGACTGTCGATAGTCCTTACTGCTTTACAATCGCTTAACCGCGATAATGTCGGTGGGCAACTAGTTATTGCAGTCCTGCCCAAGCTTGCAGTTCAAGCAAGCATCAAGTTTTTTTTTCTTGACGCAACTGAGGCAACCGTCATCGATCGTCGCATGAAACCATTCCTAACCAAACTCAGCCGCGCCAACGTCAAATACACATATTCGTCCAAGAACTTACCGCACTTCAGTTCCAATTACAGACAGGTCCCAGACATTCACTCTGACAACGATTACGGCGTCCTTGGATCTACTGTCGCGATTTCCCAACAACTATTCGACTCCCCCCAAGGGCCGGAGAAAGTTGCAACTGCCCTTGCAAACCTCCCTGTATCTGCTGGTGACCTTATCTTTACCAGTAATCTTGGTGGTCGTGTTATTAGTAATGGAGAACTGGCAGAAACGTCTATGCACCCTGCTTGGCGGTCGGCGTCGCAACTCATTAATTACGTACACACAGTCGAACCGTCAATTGAAGGCAGGGCAAAAGCTCGCGAGAGATTAACCAACACCCAAATGCCTATGTTATATGCGCTCGATCCTAATTTAAAGCTATCGTACCGCAACGTCGGGGATCCCAATGAAAAGGACTTCCAACAAATCTATTGGGGACCGAACTATGGCCGTCTATCTAACATCAAGAAGAAATGGGATACTGATGATCTCTTTTTCAGCAAACTTGGTGTTGGTAGCGAGAGATGGGACTCTGAAGGTATGTGTCGGAAGAGTCGGAATGCACTGCACCAGAAAGTGACGAGGTTTCTTTCTTTTCCTACTTCTATTTTTGAGGGGATAACACTCTGGAGGTAGCTCGCCGTTAGAACAGCTCTGTTTACTTCATGCATAAGCTATTGTCCGATGATTGAACTTTATTTTAAGGTAACTTTTGTTGCCTGAATGTTATGTTGAGTACTTCGTATCTCCCTGAGCTCTTTCACTTGTAACCATCTAGTTTTGCAGAAAGCTCCATACCCTTCCTCTTGAACTTGAGAGTAAAGACGTTTGTGGATGTTCCGCCACAGTGTGAAAATACAGTATCCTTCACCCGACCATGACGCCTAATGCGCCTTTTCTCCTCTCTAGCTGAACCCATGTTTGAAATTCGACTGAAGGCTTGTACTATTTACCATTTTTTGGGGGTAGCAAAGTTACTGAACAAGTTATAATAGGCTCACATTTAAAGTTAAATTTTAGGTTTCGGGATGGTGCTTAAAACGAGCAAACTTTTGTGACACAAAAAATACTCGGTTGGTGAACCCACTCCTCAATAACTGGTTCAGCTCAGTTGTTAACTAGCTAACTAGCGCCAGGCCCACAACAAACCAAAAATTGGAGTCGGTCCATGCTAGTTTGGACAACACTTCAGCTGGTAGAATGCCACATCACAACCTTCCTTCGACCACGACTTCACATCGCGTAACCCAGCAGTTCCAAAGAGTTCCTTCCGCTCCTCAGAGTCGTATTTGTAACTGCACCCAAAGCGAACCTTCTCGTGTTTGCCTACCACAATTTTGTCCAGAGGCCGCCCGAGCTTGATGTCTTTTGATCGAGGTACCAATGATGCTTCATGTCTTCCAAGCACGTAATTCCACTCACTGAGGAAATACCAATCTTCGGGATCAAAGACGTTTTCTCCTCCATCCTGCTGGAAGAGAGTGTTGCCATACTTGAGTGACTCCAATGCGAACGGAACGACACCCTCTGCTGTGTAGGCCCGGGTAACTTTGGTAGGGACCTTGCAGCTATCTAGTGTCAGTAGAATGGAGCTCTGTGAAGGAGACTCAACCAGAGCGTGAGAGGCAATATTATGCAAAAATTTCGCTGCATTTGAGCGGGAAAAATTTCCGATTGTTAATCCGAACAGCAAAAGGCAGTGTGGTTGGTCCCGGATAACAGGGGTTTCTTTTAGCCACTGAAGGCCATCATCAAATGTGCCATGAAGGGCAGAAAACTGCACATGAACAAATTGATCGGTTGGTATGGCTTGTAAGGTTGAGGTGAGCTCTGAAAAGCTCAAATCCAGCGCATAGTAGGTGACTTTCTTCTGAGCAGCTTCTAGGGCCTCTAGAAGGTGTATGACTTTGTCTAGGCTTCTGTAATTACCCGATGATTTAGTTGGCAACACTGAAATATAGGGGTAGATATATAGAATCTTACGCGCTTCCGAGGTCAACAACAACACTCCCATCTGCGATTGATGCCGCCATATCTGTAGCCTTGTCCTTTAAAATTTGAATTTCTTCATGTCTGGGATAGAAATCAGACGCATGGGAATGGCGATTCCAATGTTGTATTCCTTCAGTGCTATAAAAAAGAAGTGCCGGAAGGGTCTTTGGGCTAGATAACAGTCCCGCTTCAACTTGTTTTGGGATAGACTCTTCAAATTTGCTTCGACGGATGTCGAGGATTTGGGGGGGATTAATGCTTCCCATGATAGATTCTGTTCTCTCTTCGTTCTGTCTTTTGTCGGGTAACAGTGAGATGGGAGTTTCTTGACTATCTTAGTTCTGCTGCATTGTGCCTTTTTCTAGATTTAAATACGGATAAACAGCCATTCATCCACTCCATTTTAGCCTAACTCCACAAACTTACTACATGTGTTATCCAGGGACATTCACCCAAATTTGGACTGAATACAATATCCACCCCAGCGCATAATATTTCTCATCACATTTCATTTTCTTACACATATTTACAGGTATGAAATGCGTCGGTCTTATAATATACGGACAAAGCTGTACCATGTCTGCAACCTTGTATGTTTGGAAAGAGGAAGCGTTATTAGGTCTTGCTTCATCAACTCATCAGCTCCATGTAAGAGAAAATAACACCCAATACAGAAGACATTGGTAATTTCGGAGACGAAACTAAAAAAGAAAAAAGTTTACATCATATTATAGAAACAGCAGCAGGTATAAATACGGGAGTGAGTGAAGAACGATACTTAAGTCTGGCCTGTATCCAATATTTTGATTCATAGCTGGCTGCGGATTGTACTTTACTCTGGGAAAGAAAATCAACTCTACTGGTGATATACTTCTAACGTGCCTATTGAATCTACCTCAATCCCCTTTTATTCCACAAAATTATGGCATCTGTCTCCTCAAAGATATTCGCTATTACAGGCGGCGCGTCCGGAATTGGGGCAGCAACATGCCGTCTACTTGCGAAGAGAGGAGCAGCTACTCTCTGTGTTGGAGACCTCTGCAGTGAAAACATGAAACAACTGGAGAATGATATTAAAGAAATCAACCCAAACACAAAGGTACATTGCACAGTCTTAGATGTATCATCCTCCTCAAATGTGGATGAATGGATAAAAGACATCATTACCACGTTTGGAGACCTTCATGGAGCAGCCAACATTGCAGGCATTGCTCAAGGTGCCGGCTTGCGGCAGGCTCCTACCATCCTGGAAGAGGACGATCAGCAATGGAAGAAGGTATTCCAGGTAAACCTGGACGGTGTTCTTTATTCCACCCGAGCTCAAGTCCGGGCTATGAAGGAATCTTCATCGACAAACCCTGGAGACCGAAGCATTGTCAATGTGGCCAGTATAGCATCGATGTCTCACATGCCTGATGTCTTTGCCTACGGGACTTCGAAAGCAGGATGTGCCTATTTCACTACCTGTGTTTCACAGGACGTGATGCCATTTGGAATACGAGCTAATACCGTTTCCCCTGGTGAGTTTTGAAGTAATACTCTTTGCCCTCGGGTGTTTTCTAACATCATTGGAATGCCTGAAGGAATCACAAGGACGCCGATGCTGCCAAGATTTGTACCGAATGCGAAAACTCAAGAGGAGGTTGAAGAGACATACAAGAAAGAGGGCTTCTCTGTTATTGAAGCCGATGACGTTGCCCGGACTATCGTGTGGCTGTTGAGTGAAGACTCCCGTCCCGTCTTCGGAGCGAATATCAATGTTGGCGCCTGTATGCCTTGATTGTTGATTGGGTTAACTAGTTAACTAGTTAGTTGAAATAGCAACACAAATGGACCCATGAAACTCGGATGTTCGTAGAGATCACGACATGATTTTACATTGTCATTGTGTTACGAAAGCCATTTTTGGTGCCAGGTTAGTTATAATACACAAGAAAAAAAAAAAAAAAAAAAAAAAAACCCTTTTCAGAGTATTTGTTACGTAGTTAACTGGCTATTGACGCTTAAGAGTCCGCATTTGGCTCAGCCAATTACCAGCTCGTATTCGTTAACAACAAGCCATAAGCCATGATGCTTAAGTCCCATACTTTCCAATAGTTAGTTAGTTGATACCGACCAAACACTGGAATACCGAAGTTTCATACGTAGCAATGTGGTCCGATTACTAGGCTGGTCGATCCTGAAATGCGGTGACAGCCCCTCACAGAGTCACAGATGCATCAGAGTACCCAAAAATAAGGTCCTTGATCTCGTCCCTAGTAATGAGAACCAACCCCACCGGGAAAAGGGGACCCCCTTGCCAGCAAAAGTTAACTTGCATATCAGGCTGAAACCTGCACGGAGTTCAGCGCCAGGGATTGGCCGCGCGGTGCAACAGCTTCTGCAGCCGGTTCTCAAATATGATTTTGGATTTTAAGTGGGCCGTCGTTGTGTGATTTTGACACTGACGCCTGCATGAACAATTATTCGGAAGTTGTACAACATGATACACCGGTTGGCACGATGGCCTTGGTGGGATATTTCGATTACCACATGGCCCTTTGGACTGGTAACATTCTACAAGGCTCATTTTTGAGCCATTGAGATAATCAAAGTATCTCAGCTCGAGTAGCCAAACAGGGACGCCGTGATAATAAGCAAAGTATGCTTCTTGGGAAATACTGGTCCTGCCCATTTATTCTTATTTACGATTTACAAGATCTCGCCTGATGATAAGAATTGCTCTTCTGGCCCTCAAAATTACTGTCTTTGACTCTACGCATCCCTGAGCCACCCTTTTTCTTCACACTTCAAACCATTTACAATACATCGTCACATCTAGCTATCTATCATGGCTCCAAACGCAGCGGACAAATGCCCCGTCATGAACAACACTGGGGAAAAGTGTCCAGTCATGTCGTCTTCAACCCAAAGCCGTGGCCCTAGGGATATTTACACACTTGAGGCCTTGTCCCACTTTAACCGTGAGAAAATCCCTGAGAGAGCAGTCCATGCCAAAGGAACTGGAGCATACGGAGAATTTGAGGTAAGGACGCCTTTCTTGCCTTTGTTTTCGAGAATTCTCGCTAACACAGATATGTTGTCGTATCTTATCAGGTGACTGCTGATATCTCTGACATTTGCAACATTGACATGCTCCTTGGAGTGGGAAAAAAGACGCAATGTGTTACTCGATTCTCAACAACCGGCCTTGAGCGTGGCTCTTCTGACGGAGTCAGAGATTTGAAGGGCATGGCTGTGAAGTTCTTCACAGAACAAGGAGACTGGGACTGGGTTTCACTCAACTTTCCATTTTTCTTTATTCGTGACCCAGCCAAGTTTCCCGATATGATTCATTCACAGCGTCGAGACCCGCAAACAAATCTTCTAAATCCCAACATGACCTGGGATTTCGTAACCAAGAACCCCGAGGCTTTGCACATGACACTTTTGCAGCACAGCGATTTTGGAACCATGTTTACCTGGCGAACGCTGAGCAGTTATGTTGGACATGCCTTTAAATGGGTAATGCCCGATGGATCATTCAAATACGTTCACTTCTTTCTAGCGTCCGACCGTGGCCCTAACTTCACCGACGGATCTACTGCCAAGGTTGATCCCAACGACCCAGACTTTGCCACCAAGGACCTTTTCGAAGCTATAGAGCGAGGTGACTACCCCTCATGGACTGCCAATGTCCAGGTTGTCGATCCAAAGGATGCGCCTAAACTAGGTTTCAACATCCTCGACCTCACAAAGCACTGGAATCTTGGAACATATCCCAAGGGCCTAGATACCATTCCCTCTCGTCCATTCGGAAAACTCACACTGAATCGCAACGTGAAAGACTATTTCTCTGAGGTTGAGAAACTCGCCTTTTCGCCATCTAACCTCGTCCCAGGTGTAGAGCCATCGGAGGATCCTATTCTTCAAGCGCGTATGTTTGCCTATCCTGATGCTCAACGGTACCGATTGGGAATTGATCATCTGAAAGCTCCTCTTCGTCGCAAGGAGACGGCTTGCCAACATGATCTCGGCCCCGAGTTCGAAAAATGGCTTTCCCAAGTTACCTCAGAGGCATGGTCACACCCACATGAAGATGACTACAAGTTTGCCAGGGAATACTATGAGGTGCTACCTGAGTTCCGTAGCCAAGAATTCCAGGACAGGATGGTTGAAAATCTGTGCAAGTCAATTGCTCCGGGGCCAGAGGAACTCAGAAAGAGAGTTTATGACACCTTTGAACTTGTTTCATCGGAACTTGCACGTCGTCTCCGTGAGGGAGCAGAGGCCATTGTTGCCGAAAAAGCACGGCCTGACTCACCTTCAAGGGCCCAGCCGGGACAGTTGAGGTTGTAGGAAGCCGGGGGCTGGAACCAGTTCACAATGTTATCTACGATGTTGTTATAGTAATATAATGGGGCTTCTCTGCAGGATAGTTTAACATGCTTTAATCTAACTAAATGGCTTCTCGTTGGCATTTTGGTCGACTGAATATTTCAACCTTATTGATCAGTGCCCTTATAAAATGAAGATTCCTGTGCCGAAGGTCAGATACAAATGTTGTAACTCCCAAATTTGTGCGATTGTCATTCCAACCGTAAGATTATGTGGCGGCAATAATTTACATGCAGCTCTTGTTGGCCTTGTTATACTAACTGCTGTTATGGCTCCACAGAGATGCGGGATTCACGAGATTAAGCTTTCATATTCCAAACAAAGTTACGAAGCTCGGCCCGCAAATTTAACTAAGTGGGTCATCACTTTCTTGGTCATCATCTCCAGATCGACGGGGGATATACTCTGTGCTGTTAACCTCCGGGAGCTGGCTAGCTCCTTACAGTTCACCAGATCTTCGCCCAATATTCATTTTTCGCTGCCGCATTGCTGCCACATCATGACGTAAACGTGAGCTAGTGGCTCGTGTTATAAGTGCTTCTTCGGGTGGGCAGTAATGAATTGGAAGTGCGCGAAAATCAAAAGGCGCCTCAGAAAGTTAACTACATTGCCTGAAGATCGAGCGTGCTAACCCCCCACTAAGCTATCACAAAAAAAAAACCCCTTTGTAGCAGGAACAGCGTATTCCAATCACGATTTCTGCAGGCTTCGGGTGAGCACTGTAGCTGTCTCATTGCTCATAAATGTGAAACAATTTTGCGACCGTCTTCCACTCGCCATCCACCTTTACCATAGCTAAATGATCTCGAAACCCTCCGTTTTCTAGCTCTGAGTCAACCTCCACAATCGCCGTGGATGGGGTGATTGCAATAATATCCATGTGGTAAATTAACTCTGGTGTACATCCTCGTTCCACGATCATATCAAACAGTTCCTGAATAGGAACAGTTTTCAAGTCCTTGTCAAGCCAGCCGTACATTCCAGCGTTTGGGTGAAATCCCTTGCGACTGTGGTCAACGTTGCCAGTTTTAAGTCCATCCACATAGTACTGGGCGGCTTTTATAACGGCTTCCTTCTCTTTGGTTGAGATGGGCTTGGTTTTTTTCGAAGTTGCGGGATTCTCCATGGCGGATAAATAACCGTGTTATCGACTATATAAAAGTCAGCTCCATTTTCCTCGAACAGCATTGAACATATATATATACCAAATAGTATTTGGGTTGCAAGAAATGGCTTTGATTGAAGTGTAGGAAAATTCTGCTGTGGAGGAAAGTATCAGCAAACAAGATCTAAAGAGGAACCTCCCCTTATATAACTTTTGAATTCCAAAGACAACCGTCTAGTATGGGGGAATTAGTCGACATTATCACCGCTCGGATAAGATACCTTGCATACTAAAATCCACCTGTTCCCATATCCCCTCACGCACGAAACATTTTGACTATCAAATAATAATAGCCTATCGACAACAGCCCCGCTGTTACAGGTCATACCGCTTGCATGATAACTCCCCTTTGACGAGATATCTTCTCAATGCAGTCAAGTCGCAAATATGATACCTCTTCAACGGGGATCTGCTGCCAATTAAACTGTCCGGAACCACCTCATCTTTCCTTGCTCAAAACCTCGGTGGATACAAGAATTCAGCTTACGTCGCAATGCAGTGTAGTTAGTTGCACCATGCACTGCACACGGAGATAGAATCCCAACTTCCGCACGGAATACCTTCCTGGAAGATGAATTCAGCCCTGAATGAGCAACCGCTAGAGTTTGTGGCGGTTTAACGAGAGTTTGTGGCGGTTTAACGAGAGTTTGTATGATAGTATAATTAGTCCTGGTTTCCCCTGTAATTTCTTGAATGAGCTGGCAATGGAGTCAAAAAAGCCAATATTATTACGGACTTAGCAGGCTTTTGCTTTACCCAAATATTAGATATATCAAGAGGGGAAAATTTTCCTTTTATCATAATCGTGGCGGTACTCATTGGGCCATGACTCAATACGCCATTTACAAGGGTACACTCCACAAAATAGACAACTGCAAGGCATGCTACCTCCACTTAATACTCACCATATGAAATTCTTGCTAGCCGTAGATAGTGCCAGGCTTGGAAATTCCAAGTGAAGGTCTTCGATTCAATACGCACCAACAAAGTGTCGTGTCATAGCTATGTATGGTAGCTGTATCGGATATATAAAGATGGGAGAAATTATCATCATCCCATAAAGCAGCAGCTTAACCGGTTTGCTCTTGGACTTTCCGTTGGTTTCTTGCTTTTTATCCATCAACTAGTTAGTCTATAAATAACTAACTAGTTAGTCAGCTAAATTCTGGAGAGAGAGCGAGCGTGCAGTAAAGACCGAATATTCAGCACTTAGGATCTAATTTTGAGTCGCTGATAATTATTGAACCTTGGGTCTACCAGCGTCAATCTCTCAAATATGAGAAAATACGCCTTCCTTCGTGTGGAACTCCTCTTGAAATTAAAAGAAATAAGGGGGAAAAAGGAAATAATGGAGGAGAAGGACTCCATTATGTTGCCAACCGCGCAAGGTGGGATGGAACTGACAGGTTGACCATCAACCCCAACGCTGGAGGGGCCAGCTTTGGTTGTACTATCAGATCCTCCACCTTACCCATGAGGTAGAAAGAACCGGATAGGACAATTGGGCGATAACTGAAAAGACCCTTTATTGTGGCTGCATGTATGCCATTCGATGCAGTTCAGTTTGCAACCGTACAGGTCCCTTTAGATGAGCTATTAATATTGTGAGTTACATCACTGGAATCATACGGAGTAACCGTTTCGTACCGCACCAGAAGAGCGCTTCCAACTGCAGGGATAACGGTCTTCTCCCCCTCCTCCTTTCTTCGGCATTCGTAGGAAGATAAATACAGTATCATAGCCCAAAATTTTACATTCGTCCTCTGCGCCATTCGGCATTGTTGGAAAATACTGTCCTCCCTCGAAATTTCAACACCCTTCCTTGTCGCAATTCAAATACTTCCAGTCATACTGCAGGATGACTATTGCCATCGCGGGCATGGGCCCGGTCGGAGAGACGATCATGGATACACTTTTGGAAACTCCTGAATATCAAAACCAGGTCGTCATCCTCACTCGCGTATGAAAAACCCACCTACTATCTTCGCGGTGAATAGTAACCCAACTAACACTCAGCAGAAAAAGGAGACTCGTGACTCTTGCAACCAAGTTGAACAGGTTGAGGTAGATTACAACGATGTCTCCTCTCTTGCCGCCTCTCTCGAGAAACATAATATAGATACCGTAATCTGCACCATTGGTATGATCTCTCCCGAGGCAGGCCAGTCTCAAGTGAACCTCATCCAGGCTGCGGAGAAGTCTTCTGTAACCAAAAGATTTATCCCCAGTGAATATTCATTCGTTCAATCAGAAGAGTAACACCGCCCATAATCCCGCAGATTGCAAGAAGACCTACTGATAGCCCGATAACAGGATCCTTCATATCACTCCCGGAGTGAACCTATATATCGCTGCAACCAATGCACTCAAGGAGACCAAATTGAAGTATACTCGAATCTTTCCCGGTTACTTTATGGACTACTGGGGTATGCCGAATGCCCGCACTCATTTGAAGCCACTCGCTTATGCGGTTGATATCCCCAACCACCGAGCTCTAATCCCAGGTGATGGTAATAATGTCGTTACCTTCACCTACTCATACGACATGGCCAAGTTCATTGCAAAGTTACTTGGCACGGAGGAATGGCCAGAGCTTGCGTATATGGGAGGAGACGATCTTACTCTGAATGAGTTGGTAAAGATGGCCGAGGAAATTACTGGTATGATTCTGACAGGCGACACTATCCTTATGTTCACGACTGAACTAACATCTTTTTTCTTGGGCTTCCACAGGCACCAAGTTTGAAGTTTCTTATGACCCTCTGGAGAAGGTAAAGAACAACGAGTCCACCCCTCTGCCTCAGTCGGACAAGGTGGTATACCCCCCCGAAATCGTCAGCTGGGTTGTTTCCTATATGAGTCAAGTTGCCATTATAGACGGGTTCAAGCTGCCGAAGGATAAGCGTATCAATAACATGTTCCCTGATGTTAAGCCGGTCAACATGCGGGAGTTCCTGACAAAGGCCTGGAAAGCTTGATCACTCTGTCAACGAATGCGTTGATGGAGGTATTATTGGTTTCTAGGAAAATTTCCTTAGATTGAATGCAGACATCAAGCCTCTTTATGTAACTAGCGCCATGATGAGATCAAGAAATCCGGCTGACGGGACATCATAACTGCCTACATACATATGCTTCGCGTCTTGTCTTGTTCATCGTCGATATCGAACCGTTGGCGTCGAGATAAAAATTAATTACCTAAGAACAAGTTTGCCGGCTTAGTCATCCGGGTAAACCGCAAAAGACCGCGGGGAACTTTCTTCCAACCTAGCCAATGGCTAATAGGCATTCACGAACTAACACAACCCAGTGACTCCCGGCTTGCCGTATAAATACACTATCTATGAGACGCATCCCGATGCTGGCTCGCCGACTGATTCCCTCCTGTGCTCAACTTCGCCCATTTCGACTCTCGCATCTAGCCGCAACCTCACCTTGCTACACGCGCACACTTACCAGAACTGCGATCACGTCTCTCCCCATGGAGCTTGTTTTTACCAAGGACGCCTGTCCCCGTAAGTCGAGTCTCGCCCCTCCATTGCCCCGCCGGGTATTTCAGTCAAGCTACGAAGCAGTAGACTAACCGACCTTCTCTAGCTGCTGGCCCATACGTACGTTTCCTCCGTTGCTCTGCGTGAAGGTTATCACTTGGAAGCAAGAACTCATCTAAAGCAATTCATAGAGCCAAGCCATCAAGGCTGGCGGGCAAGTCTTCGTCTCCGGCCAAATTCCCGCCGACAACACTGGCAAGCTACTCGAGGGAAGCATTGCTGAGAAGACTGACCTCTGTTGCCGCAACATCTGTGCTGTACTGGCTGCTGCTGGCTCCTCCATTGATAAGGTCGTCAAGGTTAACGTATGCTCTCCTTGCCGTTGCGGGGCCCATTGAACTCCAATTCTAACTTGTAATATAACTAGGTCTTCCTCGTTGATATGGCTGACTTTGCAGAGATGAACGGAGTGTTTGAGAAGTACTTCTCCCACAAGCCTGCTCGCAGCTGTGTTGCCGTGCATCAGCTTCCCAAGGGTGTTCCAGTCGAGCTTGAGTGTATTGCTCTCCAGTAGAGAACAAAATGTCAGCCCGGTATACATTTAACCAAATAAAAATCAGTTATATGATGGAAAAAAAAAAAAAAAAAAAAAAAAAAAAAAAAAAAAAAAAAAAAAAATACAATGGCATACACACATATGTATATATGGAAAGTCATGAATTATAGGACGATATAAATCCTCTATAGGACTAATTGATACTATTATGTGCCAGGACAAATAATAACGAAAAATTGGTATACCGTCTCCATTATCCCAGCGCGTATCACATTCATGCAACCATCCTACGCCCGAACGAGATGTTATACTGATTCCGGCGCCAAAAAAAGACGTAATAAAAGAGAGACAGTGGGAGGGGAAAACATTATTCGTAGCACTTCAATACCGTGGCAAAGTTCCTGACATGCGACCTCCAGTGCCGGCCATCAAACTCTGCTTAACAATCAGGTCTGCAGCAGCTGCCGTTGCCAGCCGCTCCTTCTGCCTGCTTCGATCTCGAAGGTAACCAGCGGCTTCCACTCGCATTCTAAGAATCCTTAATATCATATCATCGTTAGGCTCGGCCTGGGCCTCGCGCCGCTTCTCCTCTTTCGCTTTTTTCATTGTTCCCAGGTTGCGAGATAGAAAGATACTCTTCCCTCGTCGGGTGGAGAGAACTCCAGCGAACCCCGGAACACCTAGAGCCATGGTTGAGGCGGAGAGGCGGTTACGGTTCGCCTGCTGCCTAGCAGCAGTGGCACTGGCCATGCGCTCCGAGGTACGGATCAGCTGCTCCGTCGGTTCAAAATAGAAATAAAACAGCGTTTGTATCTCATGATACTTAGGACTTTTGAGGACATCCATTGGTACCCCATTGGCTTCTCCTGTTTCTTCATCAACGGCGTTGAAAAAGGCGAGGAGTAATCCAAGCCAGGTCTGAACTATGTCAAGTTCTAGCTGTGTGAGTGGCTTTTGATTGGACGGTTTGTCAGATAATGGTGGGACAAGGAGTGATTCAACGGTAGAAAGGACTTCTTTCCACAGTCGAGCCATAACGGTGCGCATAGCAGGGCCTGTAAGCGTTTGATTCATTATGGAAAAGTTGTCATCGAAATATGTAAAAAGAGGTGCAAGAGCGTTCTCAACCTCAGCTTGCGTCGGCGCTTGGCTTGACTGTGTCCGGTTTCGATTAAAATAACTAGAAACAGTCGACATGCTGATGCCACGGGAAAGAAGGGCTTTAAGAGCTCGCCGTGACAGGCAGTGATTGATATATGCCGATAGCTATACACCACGTTAACACCTAACATGTTGAATATTTGATGTGAGTAAGTCTTACCTTTTCTGTGATCTTTCTCGTCATATCCTTTTCCGTCCTCTTAAGCGTACGGAAAGCCTTGCCAAAATAAAACTGAATATCATCCCGCTCTCCTTCCATGCTAACCCTTAGGAGTAACCTCCCTTGGGTATCCAGGTCCAGCCAGTAGTCCCGTGGTGCGAAATCAGCAAAATGCACAGGGTCTAGCTTCATTGATGTTCTACCAACGTAATCGTGGTCTCCAACAGCGTCCCAGTCCCATATTGTTGCAATAATGTTCAGTGGGCCTTTTGTCATGATATCTACCGTATCGTCCCATCGTGGGTTGAGATTGTTGTAGATAATACGCGATTTGGAAATTCGCTTTTGGTATTCATCGGTTAAGACAACATATGGATCACTTAGGCCGTCAAGATCGCAGCCTTTCAAGTCTTCGGCCTCAACAATTTTGACAGTAAAGACATAATTGCTTATCTTGCGCTGCCTCTTCGCTAGAGGCGGTGCATTCTTTGCCAGCACCTCGGCGCACGCATCAACGTTAATGTCACGTTCCAGCTGGTCGAATTTCTGCAGCGCATACTCAATGTTATTGAGTTTTACAAAGGACTATGAGGTTACTGTCAGCAGTCGTTTCCTTTAATTTGGCAAGGATATGGAAGGAGAATAGATAGTGGAGCAAGTGGATGTTGCCATACCTCTGGAAAGAATTGAAATGGTTCAACCTTTTCCTTGCTACTCCAAGCATCCTTTGCCATTTGCATCCACTTTTCCTGCTTTGTCTGTCTTGCAGCAGCTTCTTGCTCTGGTGTTAATCTGTCCATCTCGCGGCTAAATAGTCCCTCCAAAATTTCGCAATATCTTGCCATTCCATTACCAATCGACCGCGAAATAGCCGTCATGAACTTTGCATATCCTACATCATCGTCCCAATTCAACTGCACTATATGGTCCACAACCTGATTAAATGACCGGAACACGTCTGTTACTGAAACACTATGCCGTTGTTCTTCTGTGGGTATCTCGCCAGGAGAATCCGTTTGGACTTTGAAATTATCCTGTTTAACTGCTTGGTTTACCCAGTCATTCATTTTGGCATCTGTAACCTGAATCCAGCGCCAGACAAACTCCGCTAGCAGATCCTCAAGGTGAAAAGGGAATGATTCGCCAGGAAGGGCCTCAATGTAAGTTTGTCGAATGTTAGAAAGTTCACTGTATAAATCGAATCCATCTTGCATTTCAATATGCTCGTTCTTTTCCTGAGCTTGTTCCATTATCCGAATGATCATATCCCTTGCATCTTCAGCATACACAGGGAGAATATAATTAACCAGGACAGTAATAGGATTAACTCTGTGAATAGAATGATTAGTATATCTTCTTGGCGAAAGGTCCAGAAGGTATCTCACCCTTGTATATCGGGATTCTTCCTGTAGCGCTTTTGTATCCGTTGACAGACTTTCATAACAGCCTTGCCGAGCTGGATAATGTGGTGGAACTCCCACTCATGCTGCTCAGGGGGGATCTCTTTATTTAGGGCCTCCTGGTAGATGGCTTTGGCTTTTTCTAGGAGCCCTTCGGAGGCATACTCCCGAAACCTGTCCCGCTCCTCCGTACTCTCCACAAAGTACGGATCAGATTCGACGTGATTCTCTAGAACATACATCACAGGGCCAATTGGCGGAATTTTTGTTTCGTAGCAGGACATCATTGTTTCGTACAGCTGTCGTAGCAAACCCTCATGGATTCCAGCTATGACACGTTGCATGCAGAATATATCCGCCTGTGTCCATTTGTTCCTATCGTACAAAATGGGTGCTATGACTATGCTGGCGCGCTTATTTTTGGTCGGTGGAGGGTCCTTGACAAACGAGAATGCTGAATCGAGAGTGTCTAGGCTAATTTCCTGGTCCACGTACTTTTCCCGAATGACATCCAGAAAAAGAACTACTCGGGTGAAGTTAGGTATCCTCCAGCGTAGGCATATTTCATTAAGCAACTCTGTCGACTGCTTTGATAGTAATTTTGAAGCCGGAGTTTCTGAGGTAGCCTCCGATGCCTCAAGAGACTGGTCACTGAGATCATGTGTGAGCAGTTGGCTTAGCAGAAACCGGTAATATGATCGTGGATCTGGGGGTATGAAAGTGTACAGGTTTGTGTCAGGGTGCTCATAGGGCTGTTCCTCCAGAGATAATGAGCTCATATCCACCGGCTGGTCGATCACGTAAGATGAGCCTTCTGATGCATTGGGATACGGATCCAGGTTTATGTCTTCTTCAGTTGGGTTGTCCGCCAGCTGAGCATTGAATTGTGGTAAGGTTGCACCTGTACTCTTTGCAAGCTCTGGGTTGGATTGGATTATGGCTAGCATCATCTGTGAGAGGTCAGGGCCCTCTGCCTTTCTCCATGCCTCATATCCCTCTTCAACCTCGAAATCGGCTACGGAGAGAGTACCCCCAGTATTGAGATTAAGATGTGCTTGATATAGCTTTAAATCCTGCAATGCTTCCTTCCCAGTCCAGGAATCTTTGTTCTTGTTAATATCCGACTGGACCTGGGAATTCCGTAAACCAAATGCCTTTGCAACAGTCAGTACTAGAGGCATGTCCTTTACATCATAGCTTAGTGGAGCCGCAACTTCAATGGTATGGCTATCCCTTTGAGAAGATACTGTAAGATTCTGGTCATGGGCAAGCAGTTTGCTTTCTAGTGTTGCAAGCCTGCTTGCGAGCTCGGGTCGGTCTTTGATCCAGTCATGGTCCTTTAGAATGAAAGTGATAAGCCGGACAAACAACGCAACATGGCGATCCACCATCAGTTTCCAGCTAGTGTCTTCCGGGGCCTTTCCCTTGGACAGCTCCTTGGTTGCATTTGAGAAGAAAATAAGTACCAGATCCTCGACGCGCCTGTCCTTTTCCATCCGTTTCTTGAATGTCTGCTCCTTTAATGAGTTTAGGAAGGCCCCAAACGTCCTTTTCACGGTCGAATCCTGGAATTCCTTTCTATGCTCCCTGCCAATCAGGACACCCGTCAGTCGTCTTTCAAGCTCGCTGATGAACCCATGAGGGAACCTGGTACTTTTCGAGTCCCGCACCAAGCTGAAGTCTTTCATCAGGTCATGAAACGAGGTTGAAGCCCGGTTGAGTGACTGTGGCCGAGGTGGAGGGGGGGCAGCCTGCACTCTCTTCGTTCGCGCCTGAAGAAGGTAGGCTAAGAAGGCTACCCGAAGGGCATAAGTATAGGCATCGTTACTGCTAACTCGGCGCCGGCGGGCAGCAGACATATTTCGAGAGTGACGCCGGACATTATTGCTCGGGCTATCCACGCGTCTGATGCCGCCCACAGAGTGTCTTTTGGTGCTGGACATGTAAGTCGTCTCGCTGATGCTCACGCTCATCAGAGCTTCGTGATCCAACGTCCAGGGGGTGGCAGTTTGTCAACGTCGGCGTCGCGCATAGATCTAGAGAAGACCCAGTGTTCATTCAGTATAAGGTCTCAGGTCAAGAGATGGAACGTGGCTTCGGTGTACTGTATGGAGAGGCAGAGAGATGAAGAGAAGGGAGTATGAAGTCCTTAGGATGATGCTGATTTGCTTGTTTGTTTGGTGATGGCAGAGAGAAAACACAGCTGGCGTCACGTTACAGGGCAAACTGGAGAACCACGCCCATCCAGCGTTCGGTGAGAAGGAAAAGTGAAGCCCCTATGGTGCTCAGGTCGAATCGGGTGGAAAACACCTCGAACTACCAGATAAACGAAACTAGAGGAATACAAACTAGTAGAAGAAACAGGACGGGGTTGTTGATGTCGCTGTCCAGGGGGGAAGATGTGGATTTTGGCCTCTGACGTAGTGTGTCAGATCTAATATTGTGGCTTGCTGCCGCCCCCCTGCGGCGAAGACGCCTTCATATTTATATCAATCAAGATGTGGACGACAAAAATCGAAACCTTCCGCCTCCGGCAGTTTCTACGTCCTTTTATTACGTATGTATATTGCATCTCAGAGCTCCCTCCTAGAAGAAGTATAACATTACATGCCTGGGTGTTTTATTCACTGGCCTCTGCCTGCAGCGGTCAATTGGTCCTTCAGGTCGAAGCCACAAAGCATGACCTGAGTTGCTAGCTCTCTCTCTCTCTCAAGACTATCGCTGCATCATAAACCACCTGGGTAGTATCTGATGAGTTGTATGAGTATGGCGAGGCAATAGTGCTGTTATATTGCCATTTTGACGGCCATGTCCCTCCGAAGCAAAGTGGATTCACTAGTAATATAGTACAATAGGGTCATCAGGCTTTCGCAAGGTCTCTGTGATTGGATCTCTAGGCTGTCTTTTTATATACAAGTACAATAGCCTTTTCGGCCATCACCAGCTATCCTCATGGGGTTTTCTCGCCTATAAAGTAATAAAAGAAAAGAGGGTAAATAATATCAGCTAAGAGGTCAATCTTTGAATTTGGGGATTAGCCATCACACTCACAGATACGGCATTGGGTCCACCCAGCTCAGTCTCAAGACCGTCTGGGAATGTCCGGGGCGCGCTGGGCTTATCCGGATAGAAGAGGCTAACGATGCCAGAAAAGGCGAACACGCTGGCTATGGAACAGCCGAGCAGGAAAAAGGCCTTGGGAGCCTTGAAGTGATTGTACTCCTCCGGACTGAATGTTGTCAAGATGTCGTTGTCTTCATGGACCGGCTCGCCGAAGTTCCGTTTATCTTGGGGATCCCACCACCCGGCATTTGGGTCACGGAACTGGCGCTTCACTGCTGGAGGGTTCTCATATCCCCCATTCTATAAACCGCAAGAGTCAGCCCCGAACACAGGTCGTCCTCCTCTACCTCGCTAGGGTCAAGCGCCTGAATGCCGATGACGAACCATTCCCGGATCCTGTATCTCAGCCTGAGAGGCATATCTGACTTGTGTCGCTGTGATTCTGGGGGCTGTTGGCATGCGAGCCAGCGCTGGCGCTCGCGCCGCCGACAGGACTCGTCTCGACAGCATCTGCTCCCGCTCGTCAGTAAAACCGCCGTAGCCAGCCCCTGCCGCCCTCAGGGACGGAGACCACTCACCATTGGAAACTTGTCCGCTTGCTGTCGCTGTCGTGCGTGTGGTGTCTGCTAGGAGGTTGCTTCTGTCGTCGTCGGTCTTTGCTTGAGGTCCTTTCTTTCTGTTCGCTCGAGTTTCCGACCTTTGCTTAGTCAACAAGGCCTTGCTTAGTCAGCTAATTAGTGGTCTCGCGAGCTGCAGCGGCGAAAATTAACGACTTCCCGCCAAATCCTCAGACTCAGCCATCTTTAAGCCCGCCAGCAACGCAGCTTTGCCGATAACGATGCCAGATTTCGTGTGTGGCCTCGACGGACATAGATCTATCGATTGATGGGAGATTTGGAAGATTTGACCGCCTATTCGCCCAGATACCACGGGTTAGGGTCTTTTTCCTAGCTTATTTTCCTGTTTCCCCCCATTCATTTTTTTTTTTTTCTTTCTTTAGTGACAAGACATGCAAAACGGCACGCCGAACGGCAGGGGACACAGTCGCGATACTTCGACTCCTGAATATGATCGCGACCTTCAACGCATAGCCAGCCCTTCGACGCCTGCGGATACTCCCTCCCAACAGCCACGGCTAGACTCGAATACTTCTAATAATAACGGCGTCGCGAAACACGACCAGCTTAATGGGATTAATGGACCGCCATCAAAGCGGCGGAAGCTTGCGGGAACTTCAGGTAGAAGCACACCACGACCGCCCTCTCCGCCATGGAAACGCGCCGGATTCGATGGACCTACCTCGTTTATGGAAGACGGCAAGCGGCGGTCGACCAGAACAAACATGATACCTATCGAGATGTTACCCGAAGGTGATCCGCGACGTACACAGTCACCAGTGCACAAGGGGCCTGTTAACAAGACAATTCAGGGCTGGAATCAGGGACGTGGCAGCTCTGCTTCGCCCACCGTGGCCGCAAGACCAGAGATAAATGGTAGACGTGTGCTCGGAGGCAGCAATTCCAATAATGGCGTGGATCCAGCTTCTTCTCCAAATGGTACCTCCAGACGCGCAGTTATATCTAAAGCGGCTTCAGGATTTGCGAAAAGTGCCTCTCAGCTTCAGCCTTTATCCCAGCGGCGCGTCTCTGACATTACACGATCCTCTAACACTGTTGGCTCGAATTCTCCGTCAGATCCTCCACCGAAGCGTAAACCAGGAAGGCCTCGGCGAAGACAGAGTGATGGTGCAGGGGCTGCGAAGCAAGAGAATGGGGACCAGCAGCAGCGCTGGAGTCGGTCCGAGCTGAGGGACAGAGATGATGGAGCAGCCCAGAAGCTCCCAAGACTTCGATTCCGCGTTAAAATGCCTTCGATAGAAGTCCAGCACCCCTTACACATCCTTCCTCCTAAAAAGTACTCATCCTTCTATGAATGGCTATATAAGTCTACACCTGGTGATGAAGATACCCATTTCTCTACTCCACAGGAGGCCCTTCAGGAGGCTCAAGTTCGCTTACGGCTACAGGAGGCAGGAAAGCCTAACCAAATCCTGAGCAAAGAACGATGCTCATTTTACCTGACGGATCCTGAAGAGCTCCCTCCCCGTCAATATTCACATCAAGATCACTTTGTAGCCCACGCATTATACTTCAAAAAGCTACTTGACAAGGAGCGTAAGCACCATAGAAATCTTGCTAGGTTATTTGCACACTGGTGTGCAGATGCATGGAAAAAGCGAAACAAGGCTCCCGAAGATATTCTTAGAGAACAACACAATGAACTCCGCCAGAAACGCCGACAGTTGATAAAAGATCTGCAACGGCAGTTCGATCTAGTCCGCGCTGAAGTTGATAATGCCAGGCTAGCTATTTGGGAACAAGAGCGTAAGATGGAAGAGCAGCTCGCCTTGAATAATGCATTGAAGAAATCAACAGCCTTATTTGAGAGAAGGAGGTCAGATCGGATTGGAACAGGCGAACTGGAAGAAGATGAGGAAGATGAGGAAGATGAGACTGACGAGGGAGAAACCGCATCTAGCAAAACTGAAGATTCTGAAGATGACAGTAACATGTCATCTTCGGGCTCAGAACCTGAAAGCGATCAAGAGCTGGATGACAATGATGATGAACAACTAACCCCGGAAGCTCTTCGTGCAAAGTATGCGAATCTTGCGGCTATGGACGTTTCCGTGCTTTCTAGTGGCTCTAGTGATGAGAGTGAAGACGGAGAAGAAGGAAATGAAAATGAGGACCAAGATGAAGATGACGAAGAGGACCTAGATGAAGGCGGCAAGGCTACGCCTGGCGAGGAGAACTATATCAAAGAAACATTAAGAGACAAATTTTCCCCGGTTGGGGAGCAAGAGCAAAGCTACGTCAAGTTAGAGGAGGTCGATCCCTTGCTACTCGATGAATCCGATGAGTCCACTGACATGGATGACGACATGGGTGATAGTGATGTAGGGGTCGAAGAGGGATACACTGATGATGCCAGTGATAGTGAGGAAAGCGATGCAAATGACGATGGCAGAGGAGGTTTGTTAGGCTTTTTTTCCAAAGCCGAAACCATCATCCCAAATGGCACTAAGGTTTCTGAAGTCTCAAATAACACCACTGAAGACACCAATAGTCCGGCCGTAAATGGCGTCTCCAGCACTACTGACAATACAGACATAAGTGACAAGCAGGCTCATGTTATGATCCAATGCTCAGAAAAGAGGCCTGGTGACGAGGACACCCCCATGCTGGACACTGATCTAGGAGAGGCAACGACTCTGGCACTAGACACAAATTATAATACCATAGATCACCAGGCATTTATCGAAGCTACTCTCTCGGAGGAGCAGCAGAGTCCGACAGCCCAGGCTGGGAGTCCTAAAAATACAGATGCCGGTGAAACAGCATCAGCGGTCGAAAAGACCGGTATCAAGACACCTATCCCCCATCTTCTCCGAGGAAAGCTACGTGAATACCAGCACTTTGGCCTTGACTGGCTTGCTGGTCTATATGCTAGCAATATAAACGGCATTCTTGCAGACGAGATGGGCTTAGGAAAAACAATTCAGACAATAGCACTTCTAGCTCATTTAGCTGTAGAGCATGAAGTTTGGGGCCCACACCTCGTCATAGTTCCAACCAGTGTCATGCTGAATTGGGAGATGGAGTTCAAAAAGTGGTGTCCGGGTTTTAAGATACTGACTTATTATGGCACCCAGGAAGAGCGAAGGCAGAAGCGAAAAGGTTGGATGGATAATGACCGTTGGCACGTCTGCATTACTTCATACCAACTTGTCCTT